ATTATTTTTATTTTACACAGGGGGTCCGCCCCCCGCAGGGGGGCAGAATATCCTGTGTCTACGCAAAGCAAGGTCCATAATTATACTATTTTATATAGGTTTGCGACTTGCAATTAATGATTATCCGTGCACAATTCTGTTACAACGCATGCGCGCCTGACCGCAGCGTATGCTCACATCGCTATAATTCGTCAAAGTGACAATTTTTTTAACCTGAAAAGTCGTGAACTTTGACGTTTAATATCTCGTCTCCTGGGACAGAGCGACAATTTAGTGAAAGGAAAAAGTTTTTTTAAAAGAAAAAACGCATCGAATGAGACCAGTTGGGTCAAAATCGGAGGTGACGTGGGTATTCTGCATAATTACCAAATAATGAAGAAATAATTATATCTAGCAGCTAAAGTATTGTGTTATTACCTCTCTATCTGCTACAAATTTTGCCTTAAAATACTCTACACCAGCTCCATTGAAGCATCGATGAATACTGAAAACTCGAAGTCAGTTATGTGTAGTTCCACTTTTCACAGATTCACATCGCGAATTTACGACACAAAACGTAAACACGAGATAAAAAACATTCTGTAATTCGCAGAATCATAACCTTATATTGTACACACAATCAAAATAAGCGAACAGACAACAATTTTCTTAGTGGTTGTGCGGCAATAGCTAAGTTTCATGTTATTAATCTAATGCAAAGTATATCGCGCATCTACGTAATACATACTGTATCTGTGTTATCAAGATACGTTACAGTTTGAACTGTATTGGCTGTACGAATCTGTGATAACAATTGACGAAACGCTGTTAATCGCAAACACGATAATTAATATCGCTCGATACTTTAATCGACACTCCCGATAAAAATAAATGTTCGTTACGCACTTACGAGAACGGATTTATACAGATAAAACACGCAATTCAGCACAGAACATTCACCTGCGTTTTGACACAATGGCGACGTAATGAAGACTCTTATAGTGACCACAGGATGGCGCATGAGTGGATACATATATCGGTAATCGATATCGATCTACTCCATACTTTAGTTTAATATCATGCGCGCTATCTTGTGGTCACTTTAAGAGTCTTCATTACGCCGCCATTATGTCCAAGCCCAAAGTGACATAGAGCGCGAATGCTCCGCGATGAATCGCGTATTTTATCTGTATCCGTATCAATCCATTTTCATAAGTGTATAATGAATGTGCGTTTTTAACGGGAGTGCTGATTAAAGAGACGAGTGACTGCTGAAACGTATGATTTGTCGCGATAATATTCGCGATTAATGGTGTATCATCTTGAGCGCGGTATCGTAGATTCATACTAGAATATTTTGATGAGATACCCGGTACGTACTCTCAACACGCAATGTGCTATTAGATTAGCAACATGTTGAAAGTTTAACTAGTCGGAAATAAATTGAGTAAACATAGTTGCTTTATCCATGTCCGTGCCTGACGATTTCCGCGTAGTCGCTAAGATTGTCATTTGTCCCGCTCGCTCTGACAATAAACGTGTATATAGTATCAAGTACAATTGTGTACTTGAACGCGTTAGAGAACGTGTTTTATCTCGTGTTTACGTTTCCGCGGCGTAGAAATTCGCGATGTGAATCTGTGAAAATTGAAAATAAAGTGTATGTAATTAACAGTGAATTCAATTTTCTGTGCTTTACATCGATTCTTCAATAAAATATTTTAAGGTAAAGTTTACAACAGGTGAAGCAAACAGTACTCTAGCAGATAAATTCAATTATTTAGATGTACATATAGTTATGATAACATATACATGCACAATTAAAAATTTTATATTTATGAAGATGCTTAAAAATATTATTTAAATTATTTATTATCACATTTATTAAATATAATTATATTTTAATTAAAATGGAAACAATTAAATAAGACAGTAATAATATATATATATAATGTTTGATAATTCATAACAATTAATCTATATTAATTACTCCAGGTACAATTGAGAAAGGGTATCTAAAATATAATAACTGGCAAGCTGATGCAGAATATTCTGAAATGAAATCTGCAGTGGATGGAGCAAACTGCAATATCCTAGCTGGTGAGTAAAATTATTTGTTCATTATTTAAATATGTACATGACTGTGATAATACGTACACACACTTGTAGTTTATATTTATTAAATATATTTGTGAAGATTTTTAAAAATATTCATATTAAAATTTACTGAAATATTTATTGAACATTTATTAAAATTTAAAAATAGGTATTCTCGCAATTTACTGTATGCAGTTATGTTTTAAATGAAATGGAAATAATAAAATAATATTTAATAATTAATAATCACATATAAAATATATGATTATTTACAATAATTAAATATATCTACTAATTTTCCTAGGTACAGCTGAGAAAGCGTATTTAGTTAGGGTACAACAATCGGTGAGTAAATTTATTCTCTCGTTACTCTTTATTTTGTGTTATTACACAAAATACTGATATGTATTCGTTGTTTTTCTCTTACTAATATTTATATGGGAATTATTTACCATACAATTTCCAAGAACCACGTTTTAACAATCATATTCTTATCTACAGTTTTGGTATGTTTAAAAATAAATAGTAAAATATATAAAATTAGTTTTTTTTCTAACAATAAAAAATTTTTAATTTTGTACAAGTTATATATACAGGTTATTATTTTTAATTTAAATAAAATTATATCAAATTAAATTATAAATTAAATTATTAAAATTTTAAATACTAATACATAAACACAATGTAAAAAAGAAAATCTTATTAAGATATAAGTTACAAAAATTTAATTTAGAGACTAAAATTATATAGATATAAATTTTGAAAATCTAATGCTCAATATAATTTTATTGTGCATGAATATGCACAATAAAATGCCTATATTTTTTATTAAATCTTTTCGATAAATTTAATCGTTTAATTCATTTTTGTATAAATGCGAATTGTTAAAGTACATTTTCAAGTATTATATTTTGTCAACGTAACAAAGGAGCTATTGTTATTAATATAATTGTTTATATAGCAATTGATATAATCGACTTGCTTTTATGGAATGCTTTTGAACGGTCTTTTTTATTGCATCGTAAAATGTAAAGAGACTTAAATACGTCACGTTTTACGAAAATAGGTCCCTTTGTTTGCATTTTTTTTTAAATATTACAGTATATCTTTTGTCCATGCATTTTCATTATAGCTTTTATAATTTTGAATAATCTTTAGGTATTGTTTTATTAAAAACTCATTCAATCGGAATACAAAATGCTTTTTATCTAACATTTGCGTTTCATGTGTTTTTTAAATTTGCAACGTAAATTTGTGATTTTTTAAAATGATTTGTTTGTGGATTTGCTTTTGTTCAACAATGCGTGAAACTAATAATTATACGTGTCGTCTTCCTTGTTGTTTCGATATTTATCAATTGTTCAATGAAGAATAAAGCAAAGCAGGGTAAGGTAATTGCAATAAATCGCAAATAGTAATACACACATACACGATTATAATTATAATACAATATTAAAAATTTTTAAATTTTATTTTAAATAAAATAACATGTAATTTTAATTAGGTAACAAATTTTAATTAGGTACCAAATTTGTCTGTTTAAATGTATCTATACTCATGATTCTCTTAATCGAATTTTTTTTATAATAAATTATGTATCGTGTACAAAATGTACGAAATTTATCGCTGGACATAGGCATAGCGCCGCGTCATATTATCCGCTTCATCGCGTATAATCCTATCTTCACGCGGACGACACTCGACATGGGTAACCAGATCAAGCCGTCCGATTCCATTTGACGCGAAACACCAGCGACCGCCGCGGATCCGTCGCGGATACACCGTCTTCCGCTTCCGCCGTAATGGATTCAAGGATCCTTCCGTGTTCCGCAGGGAGCCACTGTCTCTCCTTAGCGAGCACTCCCTCGTCGCACTAGACTCACCCCAATCGCGACGTATCCTCTCTAGCTCACACACATATATGTATATATATATATATATATATATATATTTTCACAGTCTCTTCCGTACCTCTATCCCTACTCGCCCATCCGCCCCTTCGTATCGCAGTCCCCGCCGTCGCACTTGCTTCTTTTTCCGTCGCGTACAGGAGACTGTGCCGCTTTTGTAGAGTCGTTGCGAAAGGAGCCAAGGGAACTTTAAAGAGACCGGCCGGTTTAAAGCGGTTGTAGTATTCCCAACGGCGGCTTTTGCCGAGCATCTGAATAATATCGTCTTCCCCACCTCGTCTGTGTCTTCACTCGCTCTCGCCGCGTCTTTTTCGCGTCGAACTATCGCTACTCGCTCGTCTTCCGCCTTCTCGCGCCCGACATCGTTGCCAATTGCCTTTATGGCATTTTGATTATCTTCGACGTCTCGCGTAGTCTGTGCACACACGAGAGAGTCAATATCAAATTTGCCGCGCGCCATATAAACGATCCGTATAAACGATGAATCAACCAGTGGTTAAAAACAATAATAGTTTTCGACGTTAACAATATTTATTAAATGAAATGCAATGTCATCAAAATCAACAATCTCTTCGATATGTACATTCGACAATGAACAACAATGAACGATATTGATAACAATAAGTAAATGATATTCGCGCAAATGCATTATATTATAAATAACGTTACGAGTTAGCATTTTATGTGCAATATAATAGCACATTTCTTCCATTTATTTATCATTAAAATAATTAAACATATATTTTTAGTTGTTAAGTATTTTATCATTTAATGATCTTTATTTGCCAATATTTTCAATTCAAACAACTAACATATACACATTGTCGTTTACGTTTCTACAGATTTAATATCGCTTATAGCAAGTAATAAATTTTTATGCAAATTACCGATGGAAATTAAATATGAGAAACAAAAATAGCCGTGCCGAGTGTCGTTTGTACGGATTCACGGAAGTGTGTACATTATCAATGCACATCGGTGTAAACAATATCATATTCTTTCGCCATTCATTTCCCGCGAGTTCCACATTTTAATCGCTCGCGATTAAGCAGATTGAAATTAGATTTAATCCGCGTAGCATCATCCAACGCTATTTCTGAATAGAATTTTGCATCAGTGGAGAATTACTAGGAATCTATTATTCTCTTAAGCGTGCTATATCTCGATTCTCTTATTTTCCCTTCAATATTCGCCAGCGTTGCTTGACCAAGTTCTCGAATTATCACGAGGCAAAAACCCAGCGATAAATTCGTTCTTTCACCACGAGTTTGCACCGCTCGATCACGAATTTGCTGCCGCAATATCACATTTTCATTTCTCGGATTTTATCTCTGAAATTATCCCGCACGTCGAATCGTGATCGAAGTTTCAGGTACACTTATCCGTCGTGGATGCGACAGCTTTATGCCTTCTACGCCGCAAAAGTCTCGATATTACACGCGGATATTCCGTGTAAGTATAGCCCGTACATGCACTTTACATACAAGATCGAGAATGATGAAGCGCACCGCATATTCCCCATATATGCATAACCCCACGTTCACCGCCGAGTATAACGTTATGCTCCGTGCCCTTAGATATTCAGATTTCACACCGCCGCTTTGTCTTTCGAGGCAGAAAAATATAACAGGGAGAGAAGTAAATCGTCGTCATACTTACATGTTGCATTAAAGCCTCTCCCGGAGAAAGTATACTCTGTCGTCTTAAATAAAGAAAAGCTCGCGAAAAGTTTTAGCCTTACATCCCACCGTTATACCACAATAAAGCACCGCATTTAGCGTGTTCCAAAAATATTTTAAAACGCAACGTATGAATATTCTGCATTATTTCAGTGTGAAAGGTAATTAGTCGGCAATGTAATTTGAGATTAGAAAGTTATTGGAAAGAGCGTGATGATATATTTTTAGCATCTCTAAAATATCGGTATTAAAAGGAACATTCAATTCATATTATATCCCGTTCTCGGCTTCA